AGTTTAAATTGCACCCTGATTTAAAAGCACACAAATATTTCTCTGTCACAGACAAGTGCAGCTGAGTCAAACCACAATAGCAATGGAACCATTCCTTTCTGCAATTAAGTATCTGGTTATAAACTAGCTTTTTTTTAATGTTTCTTTATTAGCCCTATACAATTTCTTGTATTAGGAATGCATCTTTTCACATACCCCAGCTTTTTCTCCATGGAGACACAGACACAGAGACAGGGAGAGAAGCTTGGGGCACTGGAGCAGTTAAGGTTAAGGGCCTTGCTCAGGGGCCCAACGGAGTAGGATTCCTCTGCCGGCCACGGGATTTGAACCGGCAACCTTCCAGTCACAGGCGCAGATCCTTAGCCACAGAGCCACCGCTCCGCCCTAGCTTACAGTGAATGTCTGGTTTCCTACTTTCCACTGAAGAGACATAAAAATGCAGGACAGCTGTCTCAATAAAATCCAATTATATTGAAAATACAGATCAATTGCTTGTGGATGCAGATTAAAAATCTGAAGATTATTGTGTTTGACTGGAGTGTTCTCTTTTTTGGTCTTTTATTTTTATTAACTGTAACATTTCTGCAGAGAAAAAAGGTATGAATATGAAAATGCAATGAGTGCAATAGGATAATGCCCATACTGCAAGGAATCAATTCTCTCACTAGCACTCATATCAGCACATTTAAAAATCAATGTATACCACTGAATTATAAATACTCTTCTGCAGTAAAGATTCTGAAATATTGAGCTGACAACCTCAGAGTAGGGTCAAAGATGATAACGTGCATGGACTATTGATGTTCATCACATTCTGTCTTTTGGTAGGGATACTGATATGGTAGGGATACATTTTTACTTTTAATTTCTGCAACAGTGTATCAACATGAATATTTCATGTCTCAACAATGGACAACCAGTAGGTTACTCTGCTAATGATAAGTAATGTTACATGGTAATCAGCTCATAGCAACTTTGTAAATATCTTAGGTAACAAAAGCAAGTATTCAGATCTCCTTCAGCTATCATTCTGGGCATGACAGTGGTTAGCATGGCTGCCTCGCAGCACTGGGACCTTGGGTTCAATTCTGGACCTGAGGTGCTATCTCCGTGGGGTTTGTATGTTCTCCCCGGGATCACATGGGTTTTCTCTGGGTGCATCGGATTCCTCCCTCGGTCAAAAGATATACTGCTAGGTTAATTGGCTTCTGGGAAAACGTGACCTGGTGTTAGTCTGTCTGTATGTGCCCTGCTTTGGACAGGCGTACCAAACAGGGTGTACCTTGACTGGCACCTGCTGCTTGCAGAGAGGGGATCTCGCTCAGTTGCAACCCTGAAGTGGAAGAAGTGGTTAAATGGATGAATGGATATGATTTGGCTATAGGAAAGCATGTCTTACCAGCAAACAGTTGTGATTTCTTTCTTTTCTAACTTGCTGCTGAAATGGCCAATAAAATATACATGTTTTGTGCTGTTTACAGGTCAGGATTACAATTACCACTGAAGTTTTGTTACACTTACTGTTTCATTCATGGTTTAAATGCAAAAAACAGATTTCAGCATGTAGAAAGAAGGTTTTAAAACTTTTGATTTTTGACCATTTTTGACAGGCACACAGCTTATGAGAAACTGCTAAATTGGGCCAATTTTCATTCTCAAGGAAACAACAAAACAACACTTGATTGATTGTGATGGTACAGACTGGACACACTTTGAAAGATTTGATTCATTTACTACTGTATTTGTTCTCAAAATGAATAATTTATATTTTCATGTTATGCTATTAACTATAACTGACAATATGAACATTTATTTTTTATTTATTACAACTTTCCATTTCTCTATTTGGCCTTTCATGTATATTTTCTGTTCTCAATATTGAATGTTTTATTTTCTCTTTTCTTTTTAATTTACCTTATTTCGTTTTTATTAAGATACAGATTGTTTTGTATGCATTTAGTATTAATGGGAGTGTTAGATTTTGTTAGATTCAATGATTGTCTCTCATTCCAATCCAATCTTTTGAGTGGTCAATACCTAATGTGTTCATATGCTATCTGATGTGATGAAAACCACATACAGTACAGTATTCTTCTGCTGTCAGGTTTTGATCACTGGATTGTGATCATATTCTTTGGCATATGCAAACCCATCTGTTACTCAGGGAAGTGGAAGAAGGGGAACTATGGGTGTACATGAACACTTCTTCTACTCTACAGGGCAATAGTTAATTATTCCCCCTTTAGGCATCCAGACACAACTGTTAATATTATTTTAACATTTTCTGTTTTAATTTAAAGAAAGTTTTACTCATTCTGAAGTTGAACTCTGTCCTCTGTTTAGAATCTTAAAAGAGAAATTAATCTTATAAAGGAACAGGTAATAGGTTTATTCCATGCTGAAAAGAGAAGAAAGAAAACCCAGTGTTTTGGCTGTGTACACCTGAAGAAGGCTCCATGGCAAAAACGTTGTTTTCTTTCTTCTCTTTTCAGCATGGAATAAACCTATTACTTGTTCCTTTGCAGCCTACGTACTGTATGCCGACGAGGCTACCTACCTGAACTACTTTGATCTTATAAAGGCTAGGATATATTAAAAAGTTAAATTTTAATTTTGCCCCAATTTTGTCCTTCTCTGTTTTTGTTTATGGAGACAGGCTGGTAAAGAATTCTCAAAGCTTCTTCCAAGAGTCTTTTGCGATCAGAAAATAAGTGTTGGAAGCAGTATACTGTACTGCACATCAGAGCTATTGCAACACTAATATATACTTTGATTATACTTTTTAAAGTATAATATACTTTATCACCTTCAACTTTGGGGAACTTTTTGTGAAAGCCGTTTTCTCTAAAGTAACAATAAATGTAAATTAAGATTCCAGCAAAAAGAAGAAACTAAATAAAATTAGAAAGATAATGACAGCAGACTATTTACTGGTGACCACTAAATATTGATCTTGTGTACCAGAGTTCTATTATTTTTCTTTAGAATTCTATTAGCTCCTAGTTGAACAAGAGATAAAGACGATAAGTTTACTCCTGCCAAACACTTTAAATCAGTACTTGGCATATTCTGAGATTCCCATTTTAACAATCCTCCATTGTGGCTTTTCTTCCTCAGATGCCCCTGATACTTCATTGATCCATGAGGAAAGAAAAAGCCGCACCTGAAAGCCCAAGTAGGTTTAAGGCAAAGGTATAAATTAATTCATTCCCCGTATTTGTAGAGCACTTTCTATTACAAATGACTTTTCTAATAAGAGGGAAAGTCTGTTTCATCAAATACTGAGGTGTGGTACCCACCTGGATGACACCTGGCAGCCATTTTGCAGTAGAAACACCACTACACAGTGGATCAGGCAGAGGAGTAAGAAACTGCATCACCAGGTGAATTAATGGGGGGAACCACAGGTAGACCAGATTCAGCAAAATCAGTATTGACTTTAGTCAGGACACTGAGGTTAACACTTCTACTTTCACAAACAGTAGGGATGATATGTCCTTGCTTTTCAAAAACACTGACTCAAAATATTGACTCAAATACAAAAAACCTTTAATGATTTTGAATGAGACCAAAACTATTGGCATCAGGTTAAGAGTGAGGCTACAAAAATTTTTGTAATGATGAAAAATACTCACGAACGTTTTACTTTAATTAAACAGACACCTTATTTTAGAAAAAGGAATAACTGTATAAATGTATGGGTCACATCTGTACCACACCCGAAAAAGGCTCCACAGGCAAAATGTTGTGTTTCTTCTAGTTTCAGTGTGAAATAAACCTTTACTTGTTCCTTTAGCAGCCTATGAACTGTATGCTGATGCAGCTACCCACTTGAATGTACTGTAACAATATTAATATTATAAAATAGACTTTACCCATAGGAGGAGACTTTTGACCAGGCCCAGACTTGCTCAGCCTGTGAAATCTAACATGATCAGGCTACAAGGTACTTTTGCTAATGTCAACTGGATAGTGGGCATTATTATATAGAAAAAGAAAAATTAACTAACAAATTCAAAGGTTTCACAATGCCTTCTGTTAGTGATGTAAGTACCTTCTCACTTTATTATGATTTAAATTGTGGCTTTCATCAGACGTTCTCCTCCAAATATCCAACCTGAAGTCTAGGGAGGCTGTTAAGAACTGTACAGTATAAATAATAAGGGCAAGGGCAGCTCCTGCCTGAAAGGTCCCGGGTTCAATCCCAGGGCAAGCGATGTACAGTAGCTTGCTCTAATTCCTTCCAGACGGCTCCCAGGTCCACTCAGCTTGCTTCTCCAAGTGAGTACTGGAGGTTAATCCTTCTGGGGGTAATAGGCCGGC